CGTTTTGCGAGGGCGCCGCGGGCGACCTGGGGGGCTCCGAGGTCCCAGGGCCGTGCGGTGGCGGGCCGCGCGGTGAGGTTTCTCAGGATTTCCAGATCACTGCGCGGTCCGTCACCGCACCGTTTTGGGACCCGTAAGTGAGGCGCAACGTTTTGGGGGGATAGACTCCGCGGGCGGATCTGTTACCGGGGCTTACCGCCGATCCGTCGTTTATGCATCGCCGATTCCAGGTCGATGCTCACCCCCCTCCCTGAGCCGATCCCCAGCAACGTCTTGGGCGAAGAGCATGTCCGTATCCGTGGCCTCGCAGGCCGGGCCCCTGGGCCGCGACCCCGCGGATGCGGGCCGCCTTGTTGGCGGCTGCCCCGCGCGGAGCGCTCCCGTGCGACCGCATCTCCGCCAGATCGCGCCCCAGAATCCAGACCGCGACGGCGCGGACCGCTCCCCCCCCCTCCTCCTCCCCTGCACCTCCCTCCTCCTCCGCTTCCTCCTCCTCCTCCTCCTCCTCCTCCTCCTCCTCCTCCTCCTCCTCCTCCTCCTCCTCCCCCTCCTCCTCCTCCCCCTCCCCCTCGTGGTGGCGCCTCCCCCTCTCGAGGGCGGGCGCTGGCAGCTCGGGGCGGCGGCCGTCGGTGCCGCGGCGGGCGGCCCTCGGCGGCGGAGGTCGCGGCGGCAGCGGGCTCGTTCGCCGCGCGCCGCGGGCGGGGCCGCGGGCGAGCCCGCGCCGCCGCGAGGCCGCAGCACGCCGCTCTGGACGCTGAAGGCCACGCAGCTGCTGATCTTCGCCGCGAACGTCTGCCTGGCGAGGTTCGAGGAATGAAACACAAAACACGGCATCAGCAGAATTCCTCGAGGTCCGCGCGGCTTTCTCGGATCGGCGCTGGGCCCCCCCCCCGCTCAGGCGCGCTCCGCGCGTTCCTAGACATCCGCGGCATCCTAGACATCCGCGCGAGCCTCCGCACGTTGCTGTTTATGTTTGTGCTCCCGAATTCGGCTTGTCTAAGGTGTTCTTACTTGGTTAACTGTTGTGGCGCCTCGGAATGCTACTTTGCCCGTTCCTCGGAGATTCCTCGGCTTCCTCGGGTTCCCCGCACCCGGTGCCTCCTGTTGCTACGTTGCCCGTTTCTCGGAGGTTCCTCGGGTTCCCCGGGTTCCGCGGGTTCCTCGGGTTCACCGCCCCTGGTTGCCCCAAGCAATGCCACGCAATGCCAAGCAACGCCAACCCAGGCCAAGCAATGCCGAGCACTGCCGAGCACTGCCAAGCAATGCCAAGCAATGCCAAGCGATGCGCCCAGCGATGCGCCCTTGCAATATGCTTTCCCCTAACTGGGGTCGCGACGGGTTCATGCTGTTTTTCTCAATAGAGGTACATCGCCGTGTACTACGCCCAGATCGGCCTGAGCCGGCAGCTGATGGGGCTCCTGTTGTTCGTTATGCCGATCGCGTCGTTCTGCGGCGGGCTCTTCTGGTCCGCCGTGGTCGACCGGACCTCGGACTACAAGCGCACACTGGCCGGGACAAGCGTCGCGGGCGTCCTGGCCGTCTTCGCCTACCTCGCGCCCGCCGTGCAGCAGTGCTTCCCCCTCCTGGTGGCCGTGACCGCGCTGCACGGCTTCCTGGCGGCCCCCTCGGGGCCCATCGTGGACGCGCTGTGCCTGAAGGTGTTGGAGGAGAGCAGTGCCACGGACGAGGACTACGGCGACCAGCGGCTGTGGAGCGCCGTCGGGTGGGGCGGCATGGCGCTGCTGGCGGGGTGGCTCGTCGACGTCTTCGGCACCGCCGCCTCCTCCTCTTCCTCGTCCTCCTCGTCCTCCTCGTCCTCCTCTTCCTCCGCATCCTCCTCTTCCTCCTCGTCCTCCTCGTCCGGTGCCTCGTCCCCCTTCTCGTCGTCCTCCTCCGCCTCCTCCTCGTCCTCCGTTTCCTCCTCCTCCTCCTGCTCCCCCCCTTTCTCCCTCCACTGGCCCTCTCCCCTCCTCCCCCCACTGGCCCTCCCCCCAGCCCCGACCCTGCTTGCCTCCAGGGTGCCTTTCGCTTCTTGGGCTTCGATGGTTTCGCTGCGGAGGGCGTGACGTTCCCACACCAAAACAGGGTTGGGTTTCTTGTGGAAGGGTTCTTGTGGACTGGCCTCCACTGTATGCCTTTGGGATTCGATCGGAAGAGATTCTGCAAGAGACGAACAACATTGGTGTTCTCTTGCTGGCTGGCACTCAAGCGGGGGACCGCCTTCGCGGCGGGCAGGTGCTACGTCGCCGTGCTGGTCGTCGCCTGCTGCTGGAAGCCCCCCATGCTCGGGAGCCCTTCAGCAACCTCAGCTGCGGTGTCGCCGTGTCGCTGGGGCAGTCACTATCGCTGGGGGGGGGCGGCCTTTTCAGTTATGGGGACCACCTGAGGGAAAGGCAGGGCGGGCAGTTGGAGCGCAGGTCAAGCAGGGTCCTGTGGATGTGTGCTGTGTGTCCATATCCTTTTCCTCCGCGCCCTGACCATCACCGTAAGAAGTCTGAATATCTCAAGATGGTTACCTTGTTAACGGACTGGCTTGACAAACTGTTCAGTTAGTTGAATTACCGGTGCACCTTCTAAATACACCGATCTTGACGATGACATCGGGGGAGTGGATCGGCGGCTGTTGTCGCTGAGCCCCACCCCAGACTGGGAGCACATATTCGGGAATTATCTGCAACGGGGCTGGGCACGTTTTTCGGCTCCTGCCCGAGAAACACCACCTGACCGTGGCCAATCCGACATCCTTTTTGGGAAAAACGCGTATTTTCGGATAAAGGGCCCAACCGCATCGATTACCTGTGCGTCCCAGAGGGCATGGTGTCAATGATTGCTTCGTGCCTCCCCAGCTCGGTGCCAAGGTGCAACCGGTGCGCGGGCCTTCCCTGCGCGATTATGTCCCATCATGCTCACCATGGCTTACAACAAGAAGGGGTATGCAGAGGCATCCACACCAGGATCGTCACAAATGGGGCCGAGATCGGATGACGACCACTTTGAGGGACGAGGAGGGCCGGTGGGAGTTCTCGGAGGAGGAGGAGGTGGAGGGGCTGAAACGGGCCCCCATTCTTCACCTTCGGGACTGGGCCTCTCCAGATGAGATCTTCGAGCAGCTGGGGGCTTCGATTATTCCTGCGGGTGCTGAACATTGTACTGGGTTTCGGTCAGTTCGACCAGGTTATAACCAATATTGCTTGGCGATGCGAGTTGCTCCGTAGGCGTGTTCAGACCAGGGGCGAGAGGATGGGGGCCTCGTCAGAGCACGTTCTCCAGATACACCAGGGTCCCAAACGCTTTTTCCACGCCCTTCATGCAGAGCGCGGGCAGCATCTCTGGCGCAGTCAGAGTGAACTCCTCACGGAGGCCGTTGAACAGTGGGGGAAGAGGCGAACGGCGGAGAGCACGGTGGCCTCGCGCAGAGCGGCCCGCTGCAGGTCCAGTCCCAGGACGACGGGGCGGCCGGCTCGCTGGCTGTGCCCCGCCCTCCTAAGGAGGCGCGGCCTGAAGTATGGAGTCGCCCGGGAGGTGAAGGAGGCATGTTCCTCCTCCTCCTCCTCCTCGTCCTCCTCCTCCTCCTCCTCCTCGTCCTCCTCCTCCTCCTCCTCCTCCTGCGTGGAAAGGGCGGATTGAGAGGTGTGGAGGTCCAGCGGGGAGGAGGCCGTAGGATGTCCGCATGTTCTGGACGACCCCGACCTCACGGCCCCCGTGGGACGAGATGTCCAGGGCCTGCATCGTCACGTCGCCCGCTGTCCTCAGCGTCGTTCCGTTCCAGCTGATGCAGCGCTGGCTGAATTGTGGCATCTGTCTCTTTTTCTTACGTGGCGGGTCCAGGCTCGCCGCGGCGTTGGATATGCCGTCGAGTCCCCTCTGGGTGAAGACTTTTTGGTTTCTGCTGCGCGCCGGTTTCCTGCAGGTTTCCTTCAGGTTTCCTGCAGGTTGTGATGGGGGGAGGTCTCATGAAATCACAGCGCGTGGGCCCGAAAAGGTGTCGCGTTGTACGCGTGCCGCACTATGGTAGGGACAATATTTGATTCTCAGGAATGTTGGTCTTCCCAGTTCCTGCTGATCACGATTTTGTCGCTGGTCGTCGGAGGGGGGCCGCAGTCTTGAGCGCTCTCAACACGTCGTGGAGACTTCGCATGGTGCAGCGCTCTCTCAGTGTCTTTGCCCCAAGGACCTCAGCAATGATTCTGGCAGCAGCTCCCGTCAATCCGTGGCTGTCTCAGCCACCCCCACCCCGTGCGCCCAGCGCTTCGAGAACGCGCGCGTTGTCTCGCCTCTTGCGCGGGAGGCGCGGCCACGCCAGGGGGGGGGTGATGGGCGACCCGTGAATGGTTCGGGCGTTCCTCTGTATTTTAAACGCCTTGAGTTCGGGTGGAGCTGCGACCGTGCGAGAGGAGAGAGATCAGTCAATGACTTGGTAGCCACATGGGGCCCGCTGCGGATTGATCTCCTTGCTGATGAGGGCAGTAGTTATGGGGAGTTCGTGGCCAAGCTGCAGTCAGCCGATGGTCATCTTAATGTTGGCCTCGTTCTATTTGGGTGCGGCCAGCACGCTCGTGGGGAGGGGTTCCTCGTCCATGTCAGTCAGCGCGGCCATGCTCGTCGCCGCCTCCTCCGCCCCGTCCAATCGCCCCGGGGCTCGCGCAAGGGCGAGGCAAGGTACTTTGGGCCTTCTCTTGCGTTGCGCGATTCGGCAGCTCGCGAGAGAACTCGTCGATTTCAGTCCTCTCGCGCATCGTTCCACAGCCTCCGCGGAATCCAGTCACTTCGCTTTCCCTAGCGCTGGACGCGATTACTGTTGATGGGGTTCGGTCCAAGCGCGATGCTTAGTGGCATTGGGTCAATGTTGCTGCCTGCTAGATTGTGGTCGTTTCGATCGTGGGCTGGCCGCCCTCGGTCGCGTTGCTATCATTGGTCAGGCCTCTTCTGCGAGCATTCTCGAGAGGGGGGCTCGCCCGATCGTGTTCGGAGTCTGACGGCGGAGCAGGTGCTGGCGCATTGTCGTCTTGCCCCAGGACTATCGAATTGCTGCGAGGCGCCCGGCGACGTATCAGTCTCGGGCGAGGGGCCCTGCCCGCAACTCCCGGGTCTTGTGCTGCCTGTTCGGTTCGACTCCCGAAGGCGCTGTTCGGCCGCTGTGGACTGGCGGCCGCCCGATTGGCTTCGCCTCTCCGTGGGCGCGGCGTTTGCACTTTGTCATCGAAGGGGCGGCCTTGGGCGAGTTGGTCGAGGACCTCCGGGGTTTGGGGGGCTCGGAGGGCCTCGGAGCTTGTCTCGATGGTCTCCTCGGAGCTCGAGGCTATAGGGATTATTCTCGAAGGGCGCTGCCGCCATGCTATGTTGCCCAGTCGCATGTTCTTCGCGATTAGGGGCGAGGATATGGTGAGCCGTCTCCGTCGGGCCCATGGTCCCCGTGGCCTCGGCTTCCAGGCTGCCCCTAGTAATGTCTGCTTTAATTGCGAGCAAGCGTTTGGAAGCATATCAAGCGCGGCTGGCCCGCAGTTCTCGAGACTCATGGGCCGGTGGAAGTTGTGTGGCCGGAGGGCCTTCTGCATTTTGCTTTTGTTTGGTTGGCCTGTCCACTATGTCCGTGCGAGGGCTCGAACCACTTGCAGCTGTGCGACCGCTTGCGCGGTCGCCTTCCATTCCAGTTACCAGCGCTTCGCGTCGGTGCCCGGGTTCGCGGGCGGCGGCGCGGCCTCCGATGCGCCGAAGCTGGAGGTGCCCTCGCGGTTCAAGCGGCCGGGCGAGCGCGAGGCGGAGGAGGGGGCAACGGCAGTGGCCGCGCGAAGAAGAGCGGCGGGGGCGATGGCGCGCCCACGGGCGGCGGCAAGCAAGAGCGGTTGCAGACGGCGGCGAGCAGGCTCGTCTTGGCAATTTCCTGAGAGCTCGCCGACGTCTTTTCCTCGGTGTTCCTGATGTGCGAGGTGCCGGCATCAGGGGGGTTAGCGGTGGCGCGCCAGCGGGCGCTCGACATGCAGATGATGGAGCTGTGGAGGGCCGTCGCGAAGAGCGAGATGACGCAGGCGGCGAGGGCGCGCCCGTGCGTTCGGGCGAAGATGTTCCGCGGGGAGGGCGGCAGCCCACGGAGAGGCGCGATATTCCAACGCGGCGCGCGCCGGGCCTGGCGATGGCGGAGCTAATCGAGCAGCTCGTGATCGCGGAGGGCGCCGTCTACCTGCCAGGGCCGGCCCCGCGGGCGCCCTTCGATCGCGAAGTGTCGTCGAAGCAACCCAGCTTCAGATGTCAGCAGCTCGTGGAGATAGGCGTCTTAGATCAGAGCGAACCTTGGGAGGCCGTGAGAGCTCGTTCTGAAAGTGCGCGCGCTGTGCCCAAGTACCCGCAGGCGGAGCTGCCAAACAGTGCCAGTTGTAGTTCTTCCCCTCATTCGCGAGGCTTTGGTCAGGGGGGGGAGGGCGTCGACCCGTGGTCTGGGTTGGGTGTCGGTGGGTCGGGGAAGGTGGGAAGGCTCGTCCCGTGCCTGAGGGCCCACCCGCCCAGCAGGGCTGCGTGCCCGAGTGTTGGTGTGAGGCCAGGGCTAGTGCTGCTCTGCAGTGAGCGGTGCTGGGGCAGAGTGTCAGGTGGTGGCATACAGTGCGTGTCAGAAAAATCCCTGCGAACGCCCGGCAGCGTTGCTTGAGAAGTCAGGCTCGGTGGGTTGAGAGATCAGTTTGATTTCCAGAGTTTCAGTCCAGTCCAGTCCCCCCCCCCCTCGGCACCGCCTAGATATTCTTGGTGTTCGCCGCCCCCCCCCTTTCGGCCGTCGGCATCTAGTTTTCCTCCTCCTCGTCCTTCACCTCCTTCCCCTCCTTGTCCACCTCCTCCACAGT